AAAAAGTTGCGTATTTGACAATTTATTTTGCAGGTTACAGAACCGAGGGCTAATCACAAAAGTGCAATTATATTTATACCTAAATGACTATATTTGCTATTCAGGATTTTTCATGGACAGATAGCCCAGAATTTAAATGGTTTTATATTAATCCAATACTGCTTTTTTCTTAAAGCATGATACCTATAATGTGGAAAAATAATAAGCATAAGATAACTTTTCAAAAATTTATTACAAAATCAACGGTCTGAAATGGCATACTCAGATGGGACGTACAAAATGCTGTGTGTCTACGTTACGTAAACAAATCTGTCCCAGAAATTGTTTATTTGTGTCATCCCACGATTTATTCATTTCCGTGTGGCAAAACATTGGACACACTTCATGTACAGTTGTTACAGAAAATAGGCATTAATTAGAGTCAAACATCACGCTAGACTGACGACTATCCAAGATTTTTAGGATCACAATTATTGTTTACGTAACTTACCAATTTCACGTAACACTGGGACAGATTCCAATAACACGTGTGTCTATCCGCTTCCCACAACATCCGGCAGTGAAATGAACTTGCGAGGTTGATAGTGCCCGTATCACTATGTTGATGACGTATGCATACATTAACATAGTTTAGTCAAAACAGCCAATTCACACTGGGGTCATAAGGTTATATTACGTAACACACGAAAATGGGACAGATACGATGACTTGACTCTTACAAATGGATTTTAACTGGTCACATGACAGTTCATTGACAAGTTTGTAGACACCAGAGAAGGAACAATGTTGGCAACATATTTAACGTGTTTCACTTGGGGATTGGGTGCAGCAGAATTTGTTGCGGTGTTATTTTGTCTAGGGGACAGACCGTTACGTAAACAGCAATATTTTCATCGGTCTGTTTTTATCAACAACGAGACAAAATTCTCAACTAAAACATATAAATCATTCCCAGAGTTCATAGTCTTCAAGATTATTTATTTGCAACAATGAAAAGAAGCGTAATAATCATTTAATTTCCTTCTAAATGTAGCTATGATAGTAATGTCCATTTGTGGACTAGGAAAATAAGGGCGTCTGTGATACTTGTGCTGTAAATAAAAGCAATATACCAATGGGAATATGCCAAGATGTTGAAGGTAGGGGTCAAAGGTGAAGAAGTGTAAAAGAAGGGAACACTTCCTCCTTAACTTAAGGTATAGGGAGGAAATGCAGAATTGCGGCACAAATCTAAACGGCTCGACCTAGGCTCGTGAAAGTCAGTGTATAGCATCATGGTAGGAGAAGCCATCACTGTGCCGAAATTGGAGGTCACAGGTCAAAGGTCAATGGGCACAGGGCAGATTTTAGACATTTTCTGAGGACATGGTCTGACGGAGCGATTGGAAAACTTTTTTGTTTCAGCGGTGGGTGACCTAGCATTTTTATGGCTTTATTGAAAAGACCATGAAATGTGCTTTCTGCTGACATGCAAAGAGCAAGTGTCGGATAACCTTTTGACCCTAAAGAGGCGGGTTAAACATGGATAAATTTGTTTACTGTTAGAAAGAATTTGACTGCCGGGTTTGCTAGTAGAATCTATACATGCCTGGATGTATGAGGCTACAATGTCACAGTGAAAATTTCAAAAGCTAAATTTGGTTGAAGAAGGTTTATGCTCCTTAAATCGTATAATTTCTATCGCATTCTGTACTGTCAGTGTGTTACATGTAACGTATGCCACTGCCAGTGCCAGTGTATCTGGTGGTGGTACT